AATCTTAGTATATCTCCTCATTTCTTCGAAGAGGCATCATATCTTACATCTTATTCTCAAAGGTGTCATAACTTAGTACAGGTTCAGGATCAACGCTACATAGAAAATGGGAAGAAGAAATATGAGTTCATTTTTTATTTAATATCAAATGAGGCAAAACTAATCCTAACTTGCTGGGTTCTACCTATAACAGTAGTTAATGTAATATGATGCAATCTTTGGGATAGCCTTTAAAATACTCTTACTTAAAAGGCTGATGTTATTGTTAATTTTAAAACTAGCTATTTAAAAAAAAAAAACAAACTTCTGAATGTCATTCAAAAAAAGTGCTTTAATGGTAATCTAAGCTAGATAGTAGAAATACCTTTGAAGCTTTGCTGTAAGACTTCAGCTTTGAGGATGAAACTAATGGTATCAGGAAAGCCTCAGTGCAGCTGCTATCTGCACTTGCTATCTGTGCGTTCATTTCCAATAGGAACAGGTGTGCATGAGAGAGATAAAGTGAGGGATCCTACATTTCCCTCATTAATCGTGTTACAGAATTGTTTATCAAATCATACTTTACTGTAGAAACCCGAAATTTCTAGAGTCTGAGATTTGTCTTTTAAATGGACACCTAGAAACCAGAAACATTGCAGGCTCACTGGATTATCTGAACTGTTTTGGTAGCCATTGATAAGATTAATCTCTGGTCTATCTGGTGAATGCCATCTGCTTATCTGGACAGCTTATACATATTTTGAGATTAACAGAGAAGTTGCACTGCTTCCAGTTAGAATGGCAGCATCGTACAACTCTAGGGACACCGTTCACACTGTGCACCAAGGGGTTGTCATCCATATAGTAATAATATATATGAGACCTCCTAGCGTTGTATGATACGCAGTATTGTTCTTCAAACACTGTGGAGCAGTTTCAATCAAAAACTCTTCTTCTGTTCATTGCTGTATCTTTCTACATGGAAGTTGACGAAAGTGGTGAGAAATTCTGCATTTATATTGGGTCTCTTAGAGTACCAAATTTGGGGGAAATGATTACATTTTATTTGTATTTTTTTCCCCTAGCATCCTGAGAAAGTGGATTATGAACAAGATGAATGGAGAGCTTTTCATTCTTGTCCAGAAAGTTCCAGGGAATTTCAATTGAAATATTTGTTTGTTCTCTTTCCCCAATTTAAAGTAGGTCCGGCAGAATGAGCTCCTGAAAACATCTTCCGAGATGACACTAGCAGAGCTGATGCAATCCATCTGTGCACGTTTTTACTGTACTCAGGGTTATTCCATCTTCTCCAGGAGGACACAGAACAGTTGCTAAATCTAGCCATCATGTGAAGTCCGTAGGATGAGGTTAAGGCAAAACCTTCTCCAACAAAATCATAAATGCACTTGGGTTTCCAAAGCTGGCCAAGGCCTTAAGAATTGTTGATTTGTAAATTTTGGGAGGGTCCGTTGTCTGTCCCCTAAAGTTTCTCTTCTTCTGTAGTCATAAACATCTCAACTTTTAGCTGAGTATGTGGAGGGCCAGAACATACAACATATTTGCCAGCTTCTCTTACATCAAGTTGTGAACAAGTGA